ATGGATGACCAGTTGGCCAACTTGTAACAAGCGCCAATGTAGCAAGGACGGCTTCCTTGATTACCACAAGTAGTTGGGTCAGCACTTGCCATCACTGGATTTACGCACACGGTTTTTGCTAATCCACACCAACCTTCAGCCTGAAGCTTTAGGCCATGTTGCTACATGTTGTACATGCAATAACTGCACACATGTGTAATATATGACTCTGCAATCATTCAGTCTAGCTGTACCAAGTCATTGCACAGCAGCCTGAATTTTGCAAAGCACCCCATCTCACTTGTTTTAACTCAGTGTTTCTCAACCTTAGCAACTTGAAGATGTCCGGACTTCAACTCCCAGAATTCCCCAGCAGTGGTTAGGNGCCCCCACAGTCTGGGTCCTCATTTCACCCACCTAGGAAGGATGGAAGGCTGAGTCAACCTTGAGCCGGTGAGATTAGAACCGCTGAACTGCAGATAGCAGTCAGCTGAAGTGGCCTGCAGTGCTGCACTCTAACCACTGCGCCACCTCGGCTCTTACGTTGGAAGGAGATGGAATGAATCCCAATTTTAGGTATTCCGTCGAATATTGGCGACATTTCCTCTTCTGGGCCATGTTGAGAGGTCTTCGAAATGAAGGGCACTAACTGCAAATTAAATTTTCAACACACTGGAACCCTATAAAACACGTGTGGACGTCGATAAACCTAGTTTCAACAGTTATGTTGACTTTACAGCTGACATCACAGGGCGATGTTTCGAAAGAAGCGCTCATCCCTCCATCACTGCCCATTCTGGCCAATGGCGCGCCACTGTATGGGTGGAGTGATAGAGGCTGCTGCGCAACGCGCATGAAGATGAGCGATGCATATTCACATATGTACAGTGTTCTGTACTGAAGCTAGCTGGAGGAACATTTTAAAACACAGTTCAACCCGCTAATATCGAGCGATCTGATGTTTTCGTACGGCAGATATACAGCGGTTCACTGTACGAAAAAAGTGTCCCCCAAAACTTCTCGCTCCATCGCCCCCATATCGCCCCCTCCCTTCCGTTCCTTCGCCCCCGCGTTGCCCCTTTTCGTTTCATCCCCCCCCCCCTGAAAAATGAAATTGCCCCCTGGGGGGCAATATCACCCAGGTTAAGAACCACTGGATTAGAAGACCTCCAAGGTTGATTCCAATCCTATATTTTATGTTCTGGCCTTCCATGGCCTGTGACTTAGAGGGCCCCTTTGCTTCTGAAGCAAGATTAGACAGAAATGCTTCCATTCGGGGTTCAAATCAGCCCAACACGTTCTTTCCACACTGATTTCATTTTTATTTTTTGATTCCCCTAAAAATCCTCTTTTGCTGCACAATGGGAGACCCCCACCTGCCTCCCCCAGCTTAGAAGACCAACCTACAAAAGAACAGAATCAAATGAGGCACAGCAAAATTACGTCAAAATTATAAGCCAGTGTTTCTCAACCTTGGCGGCTTTAAGTCCTGTGGACTTCAACTCCCAGAATCCCCCAGCCTGCTATGCTATGCTGGCTGGGGGATTCTGGGAGTTGAGGTCCACAGGACTTAAAGTCGCCAAGGTTGAGAAACACTGTTATAAGCATTCTAACTCCCAAGTTGTTCATTGAGATACTTTCCTTTTGGTTCGCATATTGTAGTGATTTGGCTTTCCAAATGTGGAATAAGCTAAAGTCGTTTTTAAATAGGGTGGAGGGGTTTTTTTTGTCCGCGTTCAGCACAAACATTCTTTTCATGAAGAAAAAGCATTAGAATTCCCTGCAAATGGAAAGCCAGGATGCTCCATCCAACCCTCTGGGCTGATTTCAATCTGAAGCTCTTTTTTCTGCCTTTGGAGAACCTGTGAGCCTATTTGCTTACGGAGGCTTTGGAAATCTTTATTAAGAAACCTCAGCATTCCTAGGAAAGGCGTGTCAGCAATATATTATATAGTGTTTCTTTTCTCTCTCTCTCTCCTCTCTGCACGATCACAGTTGCATTAGGTCATACACACTAGAAAGGCTTCCACGGAGCATTTTTTAATTAAGCATTATTTTCCTCGGTTTGAAAGGAGTAATTTAGACGCTGAAGCAACTGAAGATTCATTAAGATGTACTTAAAGTTCCTGGGGAACTCCCAGCTTTGGACCCTGATGCTACCAAAAAAGGAGATTTGTTAACCTAGACAGGGCAGCTTTTAATATTCTGTTCTTTTGCCTGGGACTATAAGTTTCCTCCTTTTGTTTTCCCACGTAGTGTAATGTTTGATTTGTAATGCACCAGAGAGGTTTACTCTCCGCAGAGATCATGTTTCAAGAGGAAAGAGAGGAGCCCTTGGTGGTTCCAGAACCCAGACCTGCGAACCTTCCCATCAGTCCTTCCCGTGGTTCCTTTTGAATGACGGTACAATTTTGCTGCGAAATGCTTTGGAAGAGTTACAGTGGCAGTTGGCGTAAGACAAAAGAATTTTAATTAAGCGACTAACGGGTGGAAGATCATTAAAGAGAGAGCCAAGCTAGAGCGAAAGAGAAATTTCTCAACAGTTGGAATAATTAATCAGTGAAACGGTTGGCCTCCAGAACTGGCGAGGCCTCCTTCAACGGAGGCTTTTAAGGAGAAACCGGACAACCATTTGTCTGAAAATGGATCTCCTGCTTGAGCAGGGGGTTGGACTAGAAGACCTCCAAGGTCCCTTCAAGCTCTTATTCTGTTATTCTGAATACGGCTGCCCTAAGGATTTGGAAAAAAAACAAAATTCAGTAGATTTTGGGACATCACTCATTCTCTCCACTGAGAGAATTTCTCAAGAAGGTGGGGAAATCTGTGAAAACAAAGAGCCCTCCCCCCACGGAGCTGATAAAGTGATTAAATCAAGACCTGAGTACATCTTATGGGAGGCCCCCCTGCTATCTCTCACCTCTAAGATCCTGGGATTGTCCCACTCCCTGGTGCCTATTTTCCCATTCCTGTTTTACTTTTGCTGGAGTTAAGCAGATCATGAGCGACTCAATGTAGTTTTGGCTCGGAGCAATGTGGAAAGAAGAGGGAAGGCAGACTTCCCTGAGGTTTCTGCTGACGGATGTGTGAACCCGTGAGTTAGGACCAAAGAAGCAGAAGCCTTCAACCCAAAGGGCCATAAGTCCCCACGGGAAACCTCCTCGTCCTGGGTGGGCAGGATTAATTTATGAACCAGGTTGTCTAGGTATATGGCAAGGGTTCCCAACCAGTGGAAGTTCTCGCTGGCTGGACTTCAACTCCCAGAGTTCTCAGCACTGGCCATCCCAAGTGTGGAATTCTGGGAAGTAAAGTCCGCATGAGTAGAAGTCATCCCAGCTGGGAAACACCATGCAGGGCATCAAAATGTAGATGATGGGGTTTTTTTTTCCAGGTGTACGTTGCGCAGGGCTGTAAAATAGTGGTGGGGCATCAGTTGGGCAGTTGTGACTCCTAAAATAACCCCATTATTGACATGCTCCCCATCTCTCTTTCTTTCCTGGAGATTAGAGATGGATGGACAATGGGTCTTCTGAGACAGGATACACCCAAGGAAATGGATTATCTATTTATCCCACTCCCCTTTTAAATGCCCCTAGGGACTCAGATGGAGGAGTTTTAAAAGTTGAAAATTAAACCAAGAAGGTCCTTAACTCCACATTAAACAACTACTGTGTGTTAAATATTAATTTGATCCTTCAAGCGTTACGTGAGATACAGGATGCATCAGTGAAACATGATTTTGGGGGTGGGGTGGGGATATGATTGTATGTTTCCATGTCCGACCCTGCTTTGAAGCAGCCTCTTCAATGAAATGGGGGGTGGGAGCTTTTATTTACAGTCCCAAAGCTGCTTGTTCACCTATGACTTTCCAAGGATCCACAATCATTTATACCGACCTATTTAACGAAGCCAAGGAGATTCATTAAAAGCAGATTATGCAAATGTAGAGCTGTTGGTACCAGTGGCAAATTGAGGGATTNCACACACACACACACACACACACACACACACCCCACGTTGATTTCCTCCTGTAGATCACAGGACATATTGGCTTCTCCAACAGCCCCCTTCCAGGGGGGGGGGGGGACAGGCAGCTTGCCAGGTGCAGCCAAGGGGCTCGCCTGTTTCTCAAAGCTGAAACTCCAGCCGATTAGCTACTCACAGGCCTGCAACGGGTGGGGGAGAGCAGGTTCTCCCCCCCCCCCACACGCCACCGCCGCCACCGCCCTCAATCCAGCAAGCATTCTGACAGATAGAGAAGGCAATGCAGAAGGGTGGAAAGAAGGGAAACCTTTCTACACATTGGAAGCGGATTATTTTATATTTGGCAAAGTTTTTTTTTTTAAAAAGTCATTCAAACTCTGTTTACAAACTGTGGGGTCGTTTTAAAATTTGGTCTTGTTAAAAAGAAAGACTCACAACTTTATCGACACTCAGGTCTTGCAAAATGGAAGGCAACATAAATCGAGAGACCCAGAGGGGTTGTTGTAAACTGTGGTGGCCTTACCAACTCATAACTGTTTGCTTACTATTCATCTTCTCCTTTGTGCCCTTCCTTTCTTCCTCCCTCCCTCTTTCTCTCCTTTCCATCCATCCATCCATCCATTCACCTGCCACCTATCTTCCTTCCTTCTTCCTCCCTCCCTCCTTTTCATCCATCCATCCACCCACCTGCCATCTATCTTCCTTCCTTCTTCCTTCCCCTTCATTTCTATCCATCCACCTGCCATCTCCTCCTTCCTCCCTCCCTCCTTTCCTTCCTTCCTTCCATCCATCCATCCATCCTTTCCCCAAAGGAAGAAGGAACTTGAAGGAAAGAAGAAGGTGGTTCTAATCTCTCTTTGGATGTTCCTTCTGAGCAACTATTTTCTCCCAGGGGGGCTGAAAATCAGCCCCACAGACTTGGTCTTAACACACAGGAACTCCCAACAGAGGAAAACAGAAAATGCCCCCTTGGAAGGATCCGATTCAGGACGAGCCTTTATCAACGCTGACTCTATCAAGCTTCTCTTCATGATGCTTACCTCTGTCTTCAGAGTCGTCATCTTCTTCATCATCATCATCATCTTCATCATCACCCGATGATGGGGATTCTTGAAATGGAAAGAAAAACAGGTGAGAATTGTTTCTGAAAATAAGTTCCTGAATATACTTTTGCAATCATCAGAACATAGAATTCGTGGGACCTCAGCAAATATTTTCTCAATTAGAAAAGATCTTCTCCATGAAGCTTTATTTTCTTCATGGCCTCATCGCCCGTCTCCAGACATGGCCAAGATACAAAATGTCACCAAAAATGGATTTAAAGCACAGGGTGGTCCTCAAGCAGGAGTTAAACGAGAACAGTGGTTCTCAACCTTTTTGAAAGAATCGCCCCCTTGAGCCATTGAGGAAGTTATCATCACCCCCGTCCCCCAAAATAACCACTCAATCACAACACAGGGAAATAATTCTTCAATTTATGACAACAATTTTTTTGTTTTCTTTAAAATTGTCATCAGGGCCTATCGATGCAAATAATTTATTTCAAGCCTTTTTCCCATATCTCAACTGTGTGAAAAATTCTGATGCCTCTCATCACTTCACTCCCAAACTTCGTGATACACGTATTTCATTATTAGCTTATTTATTCAAGACATTTAAATGCAATGACCACTGAAAACAAAATTCAATTGCAAGAAAATGAAGTGCCCGAAAAAAACCCAGTAACATTTAATGATTTAATTACAAATGAATTTTAAGACGCAAAAAGAAATATAAAAAGGGCACAAGAACAAACCGCAATGCAGGAACTAAGAATTTCAAGACGAAAACTCTGAAAGGAAAATATATATTCATGCATACTGTAAAAATGGTTAAAAAGACACAAAGAAATTTTTTACAGAAGGAAAGCAACAAAAATCAGAGCCTTCAGTTTAATGCCTTAAACTGAAGAAATTATCTATATATGTGTACATATACATATACATATACACATACATACATACATACATACATAGATACATACATATATGTATATATATTTAGTGTCACAACCCCTGGTATGCCCAAATATGGTTCGAATCCCAGCGAGGGTATGGCTAGCTGATGAGAGCTAAATAGCTTGAAATAGATCTATACTAGTCTCCCTTTATTTATCTATCAGCAGAAATACAACATATATATCTATATATATACATATGTGTGTGTGTGTGTGTGTGTTTGTTGTGTGTGTGTTTGGGTGTGTGTGTGTTTTTATTTGTGCTGATAAATAAATAAAGGGAGACTAGTATAGATCTATTTCAAGCTATTTAGCTCTCATCAGATAGCCATACCCTTACTGGGATACTGGGATATTTATCAGCACAAATACAACACAAATGTAACAAAGGCAACAGTAAAAAAATATTGGGTTTCTGTCTGGATGGTCTCTTGTGATGAGACGATAAGACAGAGAATGGAAGCAGTATGCCTCCTCCCATATTTGGGCATACCAGGGGTTGTAATATATATATATATGCATGCATGCATGCATGCATACATACATACATACATACATACATACATACACACACACACACACACACACACATATATATTCAAAAAGTTTACACGAAGAGCACAACAAAAAAAATTGAAACCATAAAACTGAGAAAATATAATATGGAACTGGAGTGCACGCTAAAAAAGTACAATGCAAAGAGACACGCAAAATGTTTTACAGAGCACAACAAGAATTCGAAAACGAAGCCGAAAACTCAAACTGGAACCTGAAATCCAATGCAAGCAAATACAACGATAAGAGCTAAGACAATTATTAACGAAGAAAATGTATGTATACAAAAAGCAAAAAAAAAAAAGAACATCAATGGCTGCCTTGTGCTTGGTGAGCTGAATGCCAATTTCTTGTCGTCTGGAACCATTTTTGCTAATCTCATTCTTAAATCGCCGTGCTCAGTGATCTTCAACATGTTCCTTGACTTAGAAAGGATCTGTTGGACAGCGCTGAAGCCCCTCTCGACTAAGTAAGTGGAAGGAAAGGCTAAAAGAAGCAACTTAACTTCCTCCCACAATATTGGGTAAGTCTTCCTCATTTTCACCCAAAAAGTTTCGCAGCCGTAACTTTGAAAATGTGATTGGGTTTCACAGTCGTATTTCAGATCCGT